ACTCACTTTTATATCGCGACAGAGTTGCTCATTATCGCGATATTTCAGCACATTTAGCATAATATCTCGATATATCGCAAATTTTCAACAAAAATTACCCTCATGGGCAGAATGCTGGCAGATGTCTTAATTGGTTCAGAATTCTTGGCTCTATCAGGCCATATGGTTTGCAAAATTTTCGGACCAAAATCTAAGGACGGCTGTTCTTAAGAACAGCCGGTGGTTGCCGTCGACGGCGCTTAATGTTATTCATGTTATTAACATGAAATTTATCGCGATAAATGATATTTTTATCCACCCGTCACCGATTTTCTACTATTTATCGAAGGGAAAAATTCACCGCGATAAATCATAGCAAATTATAATATGATATATTTATCGACAGGTATCACGATAAAAGAGATTTCTGCGATGAAAAAGTTCTTTATCGCGTTGAATTTTCCTTTAGATAAATACTAGAAAAATCGGTGACGGGTGGATAAAAATATCATTTATCGCGATAAATTTATCGAAAATGCCCTCATGGGTAAGAGTGAATTGACGCATGGATTGGATATGTCCGGTTATTGAATTCGATATCTGCTGGGACGACGTATTGAGACTACAAGACTCAACTAATACCAGTACAGTATTTTATATAATATAGATCAAGCCACCATGCTCGACTAAAAAACATTTAAAAGTAATTCATTTGAGCGACACTGAGCTGTGGATGATCAAAGAAGAGGAGGACAAAAATCGTAATTTTTCAAAAAATAGATTATCATTTGAGTAAGTGATCTTACTAAGTAAGAATAGAGTAAGTATGACTTTAACTAGTATATTATAAACAAATGTATCTTTGTAAAACTTAAACTGCGTTTTTCATTTGTCCCAAATTTCTATAAAAACATGGAAAGTTGAATTCTTCATTTTTTGAAGAACGCTCTTTAGCTCTTTATTTTGTGCGAAATTTAGTTCTCTATTCTTTTCTCTGATCTTTATGCCTGTGAAGAACTGAAATGATCAAGTTTTCCCTTTGCTTTATCCGCTGGTTTTTCTTCGGTTACATGATACAATAACACCTAAGGGTATGACACAGAAGTGGACAGGAATTTCAGCTTAATATTTCTCAATTATTATTGTAAAAAGCGTGTCAGCGTTGCTCTTGGGGGTCAAAATATGACAACTTTCTTCCTGGATATACGCACAAATACATAATCAGTACTCACTAGTCTACCTATTGTTTCTCTTAAACTAAACCACGAGAAACATCCGATTCTCGCTCTAGCACAAATACATCTTTATTTTTCAACAACTACTGCTGTTTTCGTTAGTATGTTAGATGATGAAGCTGGCACTAACGAGAAAAGAAGATAAAACAGTCAATTACAAATCACAAGGCACTACGCCGTTCGTGTCCTATTTGGCTGCTCGCGCGTTAGTGGGGGTAACAGAAGGTGTAAAAACAGTCATTTTGCCCCCTATTCAAACTTAAAACTTTGTTTTTCTTTCTGATGAAGGATACTTCTGAAAATTGTTTCACAGCGGTAACAGATAAAGGATAACTAATGAATTTCTTCAAACCATACGTATAAACAATCAAGACAGAAAAAGCTGAGATTCTTCTTAATACCAGTATGATCTATCTAATCAGTGTGCTCAACTGATTTTGAAAAAGAGAAACTTTCAGAGTTTTCTACGAGTTTAATTCAAAATACGATCGTATTTCGATATATAATAACATATTTTATCACTTATGATTTTTTTGATCTTTTTCTTAAAAGATTTCAAAACCTGAACTATTTAATAACATTATCAAAGGCAAAAAAAGTCATAAAACATTTTTTCAAGAGCAAATTTCAGTACAACTGTGCTCTAGTATTGATTAATAGTGAGCGAGGAGTATTTAAAATTTCATGAAAACTCATTTGTCCATATGGAAAGGTTCACTTCAATGTCTCATTTAATTATCAATGTTTGGATTATCCGTTATTAGCGATCTGGTGCCTCTGAATATTTATCTAACACCTTTTAGACCAGATCTTTGGACAAGTTGCCATTGATTGACCATCAACTTGTCGGAGGTATTACCATTGCGAGCCGTTCAATCTCTACGTTGATACCTCTAGTACTCATTCGGATTAATGAAGTTCAAGAAAAATTTTACATCAGTCAATAGCTGAAAGTCAGATCTGTCTACTTCCTCAAGACTGTCCTTTTTTTTTACTCAAAAAGGATCAAATAAGCAAAATACTACAAAAAATTTGAAACCTTGAGAACAGTGTAAGCATCTCTAGTTCTTCTATGTACAGTCTAGTTTATTAAAATATTTAATAAAATAAAATACAATTTATATAGTCACAGTTTAATGAAAAAAACTTTCGTCTGAATTAAAAATATTACGGAGTTAACCAACAAAGCTTAACATTACTTACTTGAAAAAAAAAGTTTTTTATTCAACAACAGGTGAATTTGTGATCCACTGATGTGTGGATGGATCTTTTTTATAAATAATCGAACTTGTCTCATTATCAAACCATTTATCTATTTGTTGATAATATTTTAAAATGTACACAATTTTGTTTCTCATCATTTTCAAATACGATGGGCGTTCTTGTTCAGGTGATGTGGATGTTACTTTTAATAGTGATTTATCATTACTATAATAATAATCATACAAATATCTGTATTGTTGATAATGTGTCGAGTTAACAGAAAATTTATCAATAAAAATGTAGCCATTTAACGATGAATAGACACACAAGAGAGGTAATGAATATTCTGACCCCCGAAGTGATCGCAAACAGGAACCGGGACCATTATCGATAAAAGTCATTTTTTTCAATTGATTATTTCGAATATCGTATAAAACACCGTAAATGTAAGGATAATGAGTATTATTTTCCGCTTTAATGTAATCATTATGTGGAGTAATAGCAGCTAATTTTAAATGAAATTTATTTTGTTCATTCTTAGCTAAAACGTTAAGTACTTCATTACTCAACGTATTAGAGTATTGTTTTCGAGAATTATCTAAAAAACCTCCAACTAGATAAACATTATAATCAAAATTATTCGTTTGGTAACGTTTTAACTCCCGGCAGATGCTGTCGATACTATTTTGTGTTTCACGTCCATCTAAATGTGCTAATGCCACAGTGTCTTGTTGTTCAATAATAATAATGTGACACGTTGTAGCATCATCACTTCCAATCATATACAATTCATTAGGATCATTTTTATTCAATACTCCATATTCATATTGACCTATATACAATACGTGCGAAATATCGTCAACGTTTTCGGTATATTCCGTTGACAAAGCAAATTGCTTTGATAATTCAATTAAATTTGAATGATTTAATAATTTATCGAGTGAACAAGATTGATTATACTCCCGATTTTCTATACACAAAACCATAATCTTAAGAGAGAAAGGCTAGAACTCAATAAAAAATATAAAGTGGCAGACAGAATTTTAGAAACTTTTTCTTGTATAATCGAATCTACTGCATGAGAAAAGCATTCGAGAGAAGTAAATACAGAAAGTAGAAACTCTCAGAGGTATTTGCTAAAAATGCTATTGTCTATCCATTGGACGCTGTCAGTGTTGATATTCCGTTAAAAAAATTTCGGGAATCAACTGTCTGCACATGTATTACTCATAGATTGCTCTGATGTTGTTGTGGGAAAAGCCCTGTATGATTAAGAACAACGCCTTGATTGATTGGACACGGACACATTAACCGCCGAACAAAGCAAAAGTATGTATTAGAATCGAAGAAGAAAAGTTCAACGCTTATATTGAGTATAAATGAAAGTAAATATCTGATAACAGCAAACAAATTGAAACGAGGACTCAGAAACAAACAATTTGAAACTTGTTACGCTATCTTTTCAAGAAAAGTAAGTGACAAGAAAGACCTAGGAGAGCCGGAATTCAGCTTGTCAACAAGTATTCTGAATTATTTAAATCTGAATTGCCGATTACAACTAAACAGAGGGATCAAATATCTGATCGACACAGGAACCAGTAAAAACGCCTTGTTATCTGATGAACTCAGCCGAATTAGACGAACTTCAAGAACAAATCAGATTTCTAACTAAGAAGGGTTTGATTTGGCCAAGCAAATCAACGTGAACAAGTCTTGTTTTGCTTGTAAGAAAAATGGACAACTCCCTACGAATGTGCAGCGGCTATCTATATAGAATTCACGGATTTCACAGTCTAATTCGAGACTTCGTGTAGTTGTTTTTAATATCTATCAAAAAAATTCTTTTAACAAATATGTTTTTACCTACTTAATACCTACATTCCATACTTATCACTTTCAAATGCTTTTCTCATGCAATTGATTCGCTTATGCAAGAAAAACTTTCTGGAATTTTATCCGCCACTTAGTAAGGTATTCAGCTAAACTGCGTATCGATTTACCATTGTGCTATTACTGTAGAAGCTGTGAATGGCACATTGTGAAGATATACAAAACGTCTCATTCTGTAGACTAAAGTGAGCTTAAAAAACTTTCTACAGGTTTATTTGATTGTTTTTCTGTGTATATTCAACATACCGTAGTCTACTTTTAAAGCAGAAATTTATTATTTTGACTGACAAAGTAAAATCAGTGGTATGGGTAAACAATCGATCAAACCAAAATGAGCAGCGGTTCTGAAGAACGCACTCGAGTCTAGAAAATGAGATGTTTTGTATATTTTCCCAATGCGTCATTCAGTTTCTATAGAAATAACAAAAACAACAGAATATTAACGTACAGAAAAAAACTTGACCGTGAAGCCAATTTCATGCAAAAAACAGAACAGAAAAAACATACCAAAAAACATGGCTACCGGTAACATCGAGCCGATTGCACAAGTTCAGTCGTTGTACAGAATATAGACACAACAGCGGATTTAGTTTTTCAGTTTCTGCAAAGCTAAGTTCATGTGTTTGACTCTCTATTCGTGCAAAATTGATTTTGTGTTTTTCGATAGTTTTAGTTTAGAATACTATAATGTAATATATTCCACTTGTATTGTGATAGAATAAAGCTTATATCAAAGCTAAAAAGTTCAAAAACAAAGCTAAAGTTGAACGATTAAAACACAAGCTGTTACATTTTTGAACAAAAATGATGGAGGTAACTTTGTCTGTGAATGTACATAAATGGTTATAGAAAAAACAACAAAAATGAAACTGTACAAAAATAACTTCTCAAACGTTATTGTTTGGTATCATCTTCAACTCTGGCTGTTTTTCATCATTTTCAATTCCTTTAACTTTTCCATCTTCTCGCAAAGTGCTACGGATGGCTGGCTCTTCATGTAACAATATATATTTTTGTCCCACTGAATTCAAATTTAATAACATTCCTTTCTTATAGCTCATAATATTGTGGACTTTCTATTTGTTTATTAATGATGAAAGTCCCACTAGTAGTGTTGTAATGTACCGTATACAAATTTGTAGTATATGAAATAACATAATCCATTAGATGATATAGTGAGATGACATATTGTTTTGATCAAGATAGATGATCAACTGAGATATCGGAGATCATTCGTTCATGACCAACGATTGATGGTGTATCTGATATAATGACACTTCTTCTTCACCTTGAACACGTTTAAAAGCCAACGAAGCATTGGTCTACGTCACTGGATGGGTTCATTACATTTGATTCAACGTACATATAGGTGTTGAACCAGATAATCAGATATTTTCAATACCTAATACTATAATTCAACGAACTGTTTTCACATATTGACTGTGCAACGGAAAATACTTCTCGATTATAATTAGTATTTTATGAATAGTTTGTTTGAATTTAACGAAGGAGATAATTTCCAACAATCATAGATTGGTATCCAAAATTCAGAGTATCACTACGTGCGATACTTTAGCATTTAGGTGTACGTATATAATCTAAATTCTGATAGGATTATATTCTCTATATCAACTAACATTCACCAGGTGAACTTCAGATCATTTTCGACAAAATACATAGTGTAGAGAAGACAAAACAAGCAACGTCAAGCTTTTCTACCAATCTTTTTTGAAATTTTAACATAAAGAAAAGCCAAAAAAGATACATTAGAAAAATATAAACACAAAAATAGGATGCAGTTCAAACAAATCCAGATGAGGCGGACGATGTATTTCAATAAAAAATATAATCTATACAAGCCTTAGAACTAGCGGTTACAAATTTCTATTGAAAACCACAAAAAATCAAGAATAACAAGTAATAAGAAAATTAACTACTCTGGTCTATGGAATACCAAACTTTTCTGATTTGTTCTGCAAGCACTAATTAGAGGGCGAACACTAGTGCGAAAAACACGTCTACTTTTTGAGGTTCAGCTCTTCACATAAAATGGCAGATAAAGATAAAGTGAACTAATAGTTCCTTGAATTTTTGTGGGAAAGAAGCATAGAAAAATTAAGAACCCCTTCAGTTTGATTTAACTATTCTGTATTTGTGCCAAGAAAATTAGTGAAAATTTTCTTTTTAGATATGTGCTGGGGCACAAGTTCTGGACGAATAAGTCAACTTGCTCACTATGGTCCTATTGGTGCTATTATTTTGATCATATGGATAACAGTTAGTGCGTTCAATTGTTTAACAAAATGGTATCCGCCACAGTCAACTGATTATTTAAGTATTATCAATTTTCTCATTTTCTGGATACATCCATGCGTTATTTTTTACAATTATTTTTGTGCAATTTTTCGTGGACCAGGCTTCGTCTCTCAAAACTGGATACCAGCGAATAAAGAAGATATTCAGTACTTGCAATATTGTGAAATATGTGAAAGCTACAAAGCACCACGTTCACATCACTGTAAGAAATGTCAGCGATGTGTGCTGAAACTTGATCATCATGTAAGTTAGAAAGTGAAACTTGATACTCTCTGTTGTTCAGGCAAGATCAAAGAAATTATTTTTATATTTTAGTGTCCTTGGATCAATACGTGTGTGGGACATACCAATCATGCGAGTTTCTGTTATTTTATGTTCTATGCGATACTTGGTTGTATCCATGGACTGTTAATGCTATGTCCAGCTGTGTATCGAGCGTTATTTGTTCGCTACTACCTTTATCATCGTATTAAAAATGTGCCAATCATTATTTTCTCATTTTGGGGTTTGTTATCTAGTATTTTATCAATCGGTTTGGCGATTGGTGTCGTTGTTGCAGTGGGTTTTTTACTAGGTGTTCAATGCCGAAATATAATTAAAAATCAAACTGGTATGTCTGTCTAATGAATGATTAGTAATTAAAAGTCGCCTATTGTTTTCTTACAGGTATTGAAAATTGGATATTGAGAAAAGCAATCGATCGTAGTCATAGAGCAGAGAAGAAATTTATTTATCCATATGATCTTGGTTTCAAAGAAAATGTTCGACATGTATTCAATTGGAGAAATGGTTTTAGTTCCATTGGTGTAAGTCTCGACTAAAAATAGAATATACCTATTCATAGAAATTCAATAGGTCAGAGAACAACTATTATTGCGATTTTCTCTGATTGGATTTCAGAGATAACTATATTTCTATTTCATGTTTCAAAATAATGAAAAATGCTTACTTCTTAGGATGGTTTGGTTTGGACGGTTCGTGACGGGTCTGATCAATACGACCTTACCAGGTATTTTATTCTATTGTATCTCATAATTTCTCATTTTTTTGCTATGAACTTTTCTTCTTGAAGGGAACAATTAGAACAAAAAGCTGAAAAACGTATGAGAACCGTCCGTTATGATGTCATTGGTGATTATAATGGATTCTTTTTTCCAATAAAATATGGTTTTCGTACGTGTATTTGTATTCCATTCACCGATGAACATCGAATGAAAATAACTCGAGGTGATCGAGTATTAGTAACACGTTGGGAAACTTATTGGTTGTATGGAGAACGTCTAATATCAACAAAAACGGCAGATAAGTTATCTTCATCAACGACAACAGAAACGAAAAAGAAAAAACGCGATCGTGGTTGGTTTCCAAGATGTTGTATTTATGAAGCATTTAAAATGGAAGACCTATGGTCAGGAAAAATTCGTCCAGATTCAGATATGGTACTTTCGGAAAGTATCAATTTTGGACCTGAATCATTTGCTCCGGAAGGGTTCGATGAAAATGATCATGATAATAATTCAGAGGTGCTATCGACAGACATGTCATCAACAACAACGAGCAGAAAACGAACAAGAAAAGAAGATTAGAACAATTTTGTTTTGTTTTGTTTTTGTTTTTTTATGAATTTTTTTATTTTTGTACATTCCTTTTAATTTCTAATCTTGAAAGTTATTTTAATGGCTATTTCATGACAAAGTCGTATTAGCAATTGATAGGTAAAATTTTATTCATACATTTATTTTTGATCAAGAGCATGCTTTTGTTTTTATTTTTCAGCTTTATTTATTCATAAACAACAAAGAAAAAGAAGACATCAAACAATATAGGTGAGACAACATTTTTCTCTATACAAACACGTGTTTATTCGTCTAAAAGATGGTTTATACAAGCGCGATTTTAAATGCGAAATAGAATCCTTTCTTTTCTATTTTTTTTTCTCATCGGGCTACTATCAACAATCAGAAAAATAACACTTATCAATAATTAATCTGCGTTATTCAAATGCATGTTTTTTCCGATATACCGTTATATTTTATAAATGACAATACTTTTATTGTTTCTTTGTTATATTGTAGAGAACACATACGTTGTATCAAAAGCAAATCAAAAATCGCGTTTTCGTACTATCGTTGTGTGCATGTCTTCCGTTCCGAAACATGCGTTCATTATCCACAATTTACAAACTACCTATATTGCGAAAACATAAACCATGTATTAACACGAACGATAAATGTCTAATATTAACAAACCTCCGATTTTCTGTAACTCATACAATGAACAAGAAATATGCTTTTATTCACCATAAATTAAGATGTCATACTTGTTTTAACTTTTATTGTTCTCTAAAAACTAAAGATCATGTTAAGTTGTAGAGTGAACTAAGTAGATTACGTACAAAAAATATTCTCTAGTCGGTCTATTAATCTCTAGCGCAATAAGGTTTTTTTAGTTCAAATAAAGTACATTTAACTTGAACTAGTTTGTAACTATTACTGGAACGAATCTTAGTAGAAACTTCAGATATTTAACACTATATTAGATATTAATTTACCGAATTGCGTTTTACGAATTGTAATTTTATATTTTCGTCAGGAACTCATACTTATCGATCAAAAAACTGATTCTTTTCAAATAGATTGTGGTCCAGATAATAAACTAAAAATTAGTTAATCGTAAATTGCGATTTGCTTTTTCTTTTACTTGTGTTGTATTGTTTACTTTCTGCGTGATTTGGTCGCTCAATTAAAAAATATAAATGTAGTTTTAATGAAAATTCTTCCCCGAGATGCGTTCGGTTTAACACTTGTGCAGTGGATAATAGCTCTCTACTAACCAGACAACTCGAAAAGATTCCTTCCCTAGGCTTGGTAATGTTTTGATAACAGTGTCTTTATCACTGTCTATATCTTGTAAACTGTTCATAAATTCTAATCTCTCGCACTACTTTTTTTTATTTAAATATCCAATTAATAATGTTTTTCTTTTATTTATTGTGTATTATAGATTGTCCTTTTTCTGTGGACACTCGAGTTTCCTTCCATATCTGTTGTGTATAAATGAGCATGAATAATAATATTAACAATGCTTCGAACAATCAGATCAATAATAACAACTCACAATCATCGACAATTGTCAAAACCAAATTATTTGTTGGTAATTTAGATCAACGTACACAAGATCAAGAATTAACAGAATTATTTAAACCATTTGGAAAAATTCTTGAAGCATCTGTTATTAAAGACTATGGTTTTGTGGTATATAATTTTTTTCTTAGATTTTAGTATATTTCTCTTTCTCAAGTAGTTTTCTTTTCTTTCAAGCATTATGGAAGTATTGAAGAAGCAGAAAAAGCAGCGTTTGCATTGAACAATAAAGATTATAAAGGGAAAAAAATTAGAGTTGAAGTAAGTAATCGATTTCAACTTTTTTTAAATAGAATAATTGATGCTGCTCTCGTCTAGTTATCTACCAGCACCGTGAGACATCGTCCGGGTGAACCCACACCCACAAGCAGTCTTCGTCAAGGGTACGTGAATGACTTTCCTTCTGAAGTGACTATATGTACTTGATGTCTGATGGTTCTAGAGGACGATCGAATCGGGGAGGAGGACCGATGCGAGGTGGAAATGATCCTCGACAATATGGGAGTGGTAATAATAATTATAATCAGTCATACGATCGATCGAGACCTTATCCGGACCAAGGTAGATTTAACCCACGTGATAGCGGTAACAGAAATTTTAGAGCATTTATTCCTGGACAAAATCGAGGTGGTGGGAGTTACAATAACAATACTTCAAATACTTACGACAATAATCAAGGTGCTTATAGAGGGTTTGGACAGAATCAACAAAGATCAGATAATTTTGGTGGAAGGTAATAAGAAAAAACGCAAAGCTGTAAATACGATAGTTTGTTTATTTTTAGAAATATGTATGATCGTTCTGGTCCTGGATCTAATTCAAATGGCTCATTTTATGGCGAAGGGGGTGCGAATGCTGGATCGCATCCACCACAACAAGCATTCAATTCACATGGCTACGATCAATCTTATGCTCGTTATCAGCAATATTATCCAAATAGATCAAGAGATTCCGAATTTTCTGCTCAGTCGAATCAACAACAGTGAGTTATCTATGAGCTAGTCTTAGTGTTACATATTCTTGTCATAAACTGTGACACTACCTCTAATCATATAGCTGGAATGGGAAGCTGACTCTCTTGCGAGTAGAAACCGCATTGAATTTAAGCCGTGTTAATTTAATGTTTATTTTTATTTAGAAATGAATACGACTACTACTCGAATTATCCAAATGATGCATACTCTCAACAGCAGCTACCACCACCCTCTGGAGTTCCACCACCAATGCTTTCACAGCAACCACAACGTGGGCCTCCTCAAATTTCAGGAGGACGCTCCGAATATATGCCATATGATGCTTATACATCCAATATGAATTCCTATTATAGTCAACAACAGCAACGGACATGACTATAAACTCTATAGTTTTATATATGTATGTGTAAAAGAACTGCGTCCGTCTCTTTTCTGTTCTTTTTTCGTTCTTTCCAAAGAAACCTGAATATATTTATTTGTTTATATATTGATAATATATTTGCTGTTCTGTGCTCTTGCAAATGTTTACTTGTTTTTGTTTTGTTTTTTGTAGTCAAAAGTAAAACATTTTTTGTTGTTAAATTTTTTCTTCGCCCATATACTAACTAATAAAGCTACAGAGAATGTGAAATAATTTCTTAGTATAAATGAATTTTAGATAAAATATTAGAGCTTCTTTTATTAATTCTGAAATTTGGATAGAGGGTAAAACTATCTTCATACAACTGATCAAGTTTCTGTTTAAAACTTGTTACATTCATAGTTATTTATTGTCTCCAAATTATTCCGAATAATCAGTCAGTGAAGTATACTAGATCACCTGTCACGTGTGTCAGAGGTGGGCGATGGACTATCTTTAGCTTCCTCGCGGCGATCGCCTCACAAGCTTCCTGCCTCGTCATCGCCCCGTACCTCGCCAAGTTTTGATAAATGTACTTTGTGGGGATCTGTAAGCTTTCTGCTCCGCAACTGCCTCGTCCATCGTCAACTCTTGATAAAATTTTCCTTTGACCCTTTCTCATCGATCCTCATGAGTCGGAAAAATCTCTGCTAACATGACCTATTCATTGTTTTATCTTGGTTCACAAGAACAAACATATTTTTCAAGTGTGAACTGAAAAGAATTCCGTTCAGCGTCTTCATCTCTTCTTTCGCTCACACGAAAAAATGTCGCGACGTGAAGTTTTTGCCTCGTCAAGCTTTCAGAAGATCTTGCTCACGAGATCCGTCCCATGAGAATCGCGAGACCTTGCGAGGATCTTCGTCTATCGCCCACCTCTAATATGTATTTGGTATACTACACATTGCACAACGCTTTTTTTTAACATTCTTGCAGCTTCTCAAAATAAGAAGTTGTACTAGAGTCAATAATGCTAAAATATGCAAAATGTTCTTCATTCGTAGAAAAAAATCGCTCATTTTTTCGTTCTGTAGTTAGATGGTTGTCAATTCTACATCTAATTAATTATTAAACCAGTATTAGCAGTCTTGGTGTAGTCTGCGCATAACGTATGTTTTGTTGAGATATAGTGCAAGGTATTCTCAGAGGCCTGGAAACTAACGAGAATAAGGTGATTGAAATCATTCGCTTTTTGACGACTGAAAGTAGTGAAACTGAAAAACGAAAACTTCATAGTATTTCTGAAAGGAAATAATTTTTATTCGCTTTTCAAAGACGAATTTCAATAGAGATTTGCGAAATATTTAGTTACTGGTTTGAACAAGACTTTTTTCACCAAAAAGTAATCTTTTAAGATATATGTAGAAGAAAACAATCGTACACAAATCGTGTCTATTACTATTAAATCAAGTAAATTTTTTATTTATTTTGAATATGCATGCATCATCGTACAGATCTTATACAGAAATAATTTTGAACGATCCTTCCGTTTTTTTTACCTATTGATGAATGAAACTTTGTATTACATTAGACTCATTCACTAGACTTAACATCGACAAACAAAGAAACTTTTTTTTTGAAATGTATTATTTAAATAGTATCATAAAACGAACGTTTCTTGTGTTATAACTACTACTTCAACTTAAAAAATAGAATCTCATTCTAGTCATAGATTTTCTCTTAGTATCTTTTACAACTAGTGAATGAAGGTGTTATATATTATAATGCTCCATGCACAAGTAAGTTTGACAGTATTATATCGTTGTTTATTTGCGTAGAATCGTAAGAGACGATAGCGGAGTTACAGATTTTACAGACTTATAGATCAAGTTTAAGTATTTTGTCAATAATCCTAAAATCTTTTCTACCTAGAATCTATATCGGATAGTTTCTGAACACCGTTTGTGATGTTATCTCGATATAGGTGTTAAAAGCAAAAGGTAGTTAGAAAGACTGATTACATGTACCTCTTTTGGAAGCGCGTTCACTGTCCCGAAATATTATAGTAAATGTGTGACAATGTCATGATAAAAAATTGATGTCACATTTTTAGTGTGTCAACACATTATCCATGACACTATACACTTTTGGTATGACACTGTTACACATTTGGTGTACCGCTTCTGCACTAGTAATTTAGCCGTTGCGAAGGGAAACTGCTTTTTCTTATGACTTATCGCTGTGTCATGAGGTAACATCGCTATTTACAGTTTTACTTAAAAAAGGTAGATTAGGATTTCCAGCCTAAATCAGTCCGTTATCCCTTCTCGGAGACAGTAATGACTTTGCTTTAAAATAAAATGGTGATGTTATGAGCAGAATTGTCAGATGGTCCGTATTTTACGGACAAATTCCGGATTTGTAAGCCTTTTTTGTCCGCATTTTAAGCATTTTTCTGGTTTTGCTGTTTTTTCCCTGAGTTAAAAATTTGTTATCATGCACTGAAATTTATAATTATTTCTTATCAACGCCAGAACTGCTTAAACTTATTTATTCTAATAAAAAATATACAATCAAAAAACAATTTGTCATCGAGATTTACATTTCTGTTTGTTCTCTTGTGTTTTATTCAGTAAAACTACAAAGTGCTAAAGAAAACATTTTTTTGACTCTCTGCGCGTGGAAAAGGATGAAGTTAGATCGTGGAAATGTATTTCCGTTTTTTTTCCGCATTCTGACAAAATTTTCCACATTTTGCAATTTTTACTCCGCATTTCTGACCTGAACATCTGGCAACTCTGGTTAGGAGTTATTCAGCGTTTATAGTAATTAGTGGGTGGAAAGAGACAGCAAAGTGGATTTTCATTCTGTTCATGGCTTTGAAAAATACGGAAAAATGTGCTGGTAAACTGCAAAATCAACTTCGCCCATTGCCAAATTTTCTGCAAGGGTTGTCCCAATAATAAATGAAATTTTTCTTTTTTCGAAAAATAGCGATAAAAAACGCTTTTTCTTTAGAAACGCGGAAAAGACGAATGGCGTTTTGTTCCGTTTTCTTTAGTTTTAGGCATGTTTAAATACATTTTGAGTACAGGAAGGACATGACTGCGATACTGTACTCGAATATTGTGGAAGTTTTCTATTTTAGTTTTCTAATCGAAATACATCTTCTCCTATCTATTCGCTGATGCTTTCCTTAACTTGATTAATTTCTTCAAAAAAGGTTTAGACATTCACATCGTCTACGTTATGTTTTCTTAAACGTGTTCCTGGACCAATTATCAACCCAAATTAGATTTTACCTGAAAATTCAGAGTTTTTTGAAAAACTCATACTGTAGTCCAGGAACATTTATGCTAATTTATGCTATCTGTACAGATATGAGACATGTAGAAGAACATTCTTTGAAAGTCTGAGTCAGTTTGTCTTGGGATTCGTCCTTACGCTTACCATATAGAACGAAAACAGTATTAGTTTAGAAACTAAATTTTTTTCTTTTGGAGTGTTACGACCAAAATAAAGACTTTTTTCAATAGTCCACAACCGGACGTTCCTAGTTTCATATCCTGTTTACTTTTCTTTTTCAGATTTGTTAAAGGTTATTTTGTAAAAGTTTTACCTCATATCCCCATGTTTTTAGGCTTATTCTTAGCTAAGTGTTTTCTCACGAATCTTAGCACTGGAAACAAAAATTTTTGTGGTAATAAAGAGCCCATCATTTGAAGTGTATTTAACCCCTGACTAATAGAAAAAAGAACCATTTTCAAATTTTTGCCCAAAACCCGCCTAGATACCTACTGTATTAGATGTATATAAGTTATTGCTCAATCATTTGTCATTCATCTGTACTTTAAATTCTCGATTGTAAGTTTAGTGATTTTAATGTGAATAAAAATGTTGTCTCCTCCTGTTTATAAGAATTTTATTATTAGCAAGAGAATTGTTTCATCATGATAGCAATAGAGCTTTTCTCTCTTATCGAAAAGAGAGTTTATTCGTTAAAGAAATGTTGATAATAGAACCATATACTTTAACACAAGGTTATTCTCATCTCATTTAGTACCAATTTTTTTTCGTAATTGTAAGTTAATAATGACTGTTAGAAATGAAAAGAAGACTATTTAGCATTACGAAATGAAGTTTTAATATCTTATTATACCAAAAACGTTATTATATAACCCTGGTTTTATGATCTTTACCACCCACCCACTTGGATATTTGTATCATTAACTAACTACCGAAAATGTATAAGGATTCATTATTTCCTGATGTATAATTGACTCTCTTTGACAAAAATGAGTTCTTTACCTGTTGATGCTCTAAAACAGCAAGTATACGTGCATACATTTATATGTAACGTTGCATGGTTGTACAAAGAACAGACAATACTTTCCCATCCCGCTCGCGTTTTAGCTATTAGAGACTAGCTATAAAGTGTATTAAATTATTTTTTTATTTTTTAGATTCGCTTTTCGTATTTTGTTTTCGTTACAAACAAAACGTCAAGTTTGATATAAATAAAACGAAATAAATACAAAAAGAAATAAAATTTATTTATCTAATTTATTTCAGTTTTTTATTTGAGTACGTGTTTTTTTAATCTATTACGTGATGTTTGTGTTTTGTTTATTACCTTCACATATATAGCCTTCTAAATATGTAAGAGAGAATCTTTTAGTATTATTTTTCTCTATTTAGTTCTCGCATGAACGGTCTTTGGTTTGAGGACAAAAATGCAGTTGTCGGCCTAGTAGCTGGATTTTTAGGTATAAAATAGATGAACACAAGTTATAATGACTACTTTTAAAATTTAATTATTTTTGTTTTAGGCGGTTTAACTCTAGGATGGTTATTTAGCTCCTCTATATTTGTTAAGAGTAGTGTCCGAGTTATATCGAATGCATCTGACACTGGAAAAGACGAACGAGAAGACGAAAAAAGTGTAAGTTACCAATTATAAGTTAACTAATATAAGATTTATTAGATCAATTTATTTCTTTAATCTAGTTTGAACCTGGCTGCTCAGATGCCGATGATGAATACAAAGTATGTAAAATTTTAATTACTTTGCGATGGCTGACTGCGTGGGTGAAGTAATACAGTGATCATTTTTCACTAGACAGCCAAATATCAAGTTTTTATCGCCAGAGAAAAAGTATCTTAAGAAATCGTCTGAGAGCTACATCATCCGGCGCAGTTTAGTTCACTAACTCCGACTATCATCTTGGTTTTTATTAATAATATTTTTGGGTGGAGAAAAATAGATTTTAATTATAAAAATTAGAGTTTTTTGGAAATACTGTACCGAAGGTCGAAATAGGTTGCTTACATTGATATACTTATAATATATAAATTATTTTCATCAGTATGTAGCTGAACGTACCTAAAATCAGTCTCTGTATCATTTTTATTTATAATTTCGTTGAATAAAGTAAAGCAAAATTTTTGAACGTATATCACTGAGTTACCAACGTCTGATTAAGTGTCTTCCCATATTGCTTGACAGTTGCAACAAAAATTCATATCTCTATGTATCGAAGTTTATTTTCTAACAATTAAATCTACCAAAATTTGGATTTTTGACTACATGTACGCCTCAGTGCTTACTGTAAGGGGTGCGTGCAGATTGCTGTGTTATAACTAACTTCAATGGTTTTGCTTTATTTAGCTTGTTTTAGTTGTGAGAAATGATTTGAAAATGGGTAAAGGCAAAGTTGCCGCTCAAGTATGTTTGATATTTCATTTCGCTCATCTCTTTTACTTTATTTCTAGTTTCTATTTTCTAGTGTTCTCATGCAACATTAGGATGTTTTCAAAAAGCATGTGATCAAACGCCAGATGCTGTAGACGAGTGGTATATCATGGGACAACCAAAAATCGTAGTCAAATGCGAGAGTGCTGATGAACTGTATGTGTATTTCATTCGAATTATTCTGTAAAGTCAATGTTGTCTATGTTTTCGTTTTAGTGAAGAACTTCGTTTACAAGCAAAACGAAAAGGTTTGGTAACTTGCTTGATTCGAGATGCCGGTAGAACACAAATTGAGCCTGGAAGCAAAACAGTCTTGGGTATTGGTCCAGGTAGGTTTACTTTATCTGACATTTTTTATGGTTTAGTTTTAATTTGTTACTTCTGTTTTCAGCACCATCACGTACCATTAACGATATTACCAAACATTTGAAACTTTATTAAATTACTGGGATTCCACAAATCGTTTATTTTCGTTCTGAAGTAGTAGAGCACCTGCATGTACGGTGTGTTTAAGTCTTTTATCCTGCGCATTTTGAAAAACTATTGTTTTGCTCAGGTTGGGTAATAGGGTCATATTCAACTAATTTCATATCCACTTAGGTAGTCAGATGAACTTTTCTCTTTGCTAGATGAGTTCCATAGGTAAATTAGTAGATCTTGTTGTGATTGAGGATCGTCTCTGTTTTCTTACTGTTTTTCTTTTTTTCATTACTATTTATCTGTAAGATCCACAATAGATTTTCAGTTTGAACGTTCTATATTGCACCAGCAGTCTCTTTATTGTCTTTCATTTTGCATACATTCGACAAATACGTGAACTTGCATGGCATGATAACGAATACAATCAAATATTTGTCGTTGTTATTGGTCCATTTTTGTCAATAAATGAAGTGAATATTCTATTGTTTTTGTTCATGTGTAAAATACAAGATGCAGTTGTAAAACTGATGAAGATGAAGAGTAATTCAAATTTTAGAATCAATTATATAGATTTTATTATATATGGCATATTACACGTAATATTTATATCTATATCGTAGATAAAGAAATCTTTCGAACTGTTTTCTACACAATACTAAGAACATCTTGCTTCTCTTCGATTTGTCTAAACGACCAAAGAAAAATCACGCATGTTTTTATCTGTGATTAAATCGAAAATATTTAAATAGGAAAACTTTTAGAACTTCTGACAATACGGTTTTTTCTCGTTAGTATTGCATTGACTGAGCTTGCAGATACATTAGACTTTATAAACTATTCTCAAATCACTCATTCATATTGTAGAGCTAGTTTACAGAGAGTTTGGCTAAAACAAACACAGACTACAATGGTCATTCCTTATGCAAATTTTTGTTGATGAATCGCTGCTGTCTAAGTCTTTTCACTTTATTTAGGTTACTTTATTATATGCTTTTTATATATATTTTTGTAAACTGTGTGAAAACAACTTAGATATGGCGCGTGTGATACTCAGGTGAAACGTAAAATAAATTAGACAAATTAAAAGAAATCTGTGGTGCTATAGTATAAACTGGATTACGTCAATCTTCCAAAGAAAGTTGGAATAAAATAGACTAGAGCAGGAGAATTAAAGAGACCGTTTGTTTTTTTGTCAAACATCGTTAAAACTATTTCCTAAGCTCAGATTCAGAAAGCAGTTACTAGTTGCTAAAGATATAAAGTTGTAAGAATAAACTTTTTGATCTTTATTTTCTCGTATGAGAAGAGTAAAAACAATTTTCTCCAAATCCAAGTGAGCACTTTTGAATCCTTTGAGTGCATCCTAAATTGCAATATGACATTGCCTTTTGAACTAAGAAAGTTCACTAGTGAACGGTATTCCGAGTATTTTCTTCTTATATGATAAAGTAATCAAGGCATTAACTAGATGAATTGGTCTAGAGTCAGATTTACTTTTATTCAATAGGAACGAAAGAGCGAATTTTTTTATGTTGTTCAAAGCTTTAAGGTTTTAGCAAATCCTTGTTTCATAAACTTCTACGGTTTTACATGAGTGTTTTGAGATCATTACAACCATGTTCTATCAACTTTTTATGGTAACAAGATGAGATAAAAGGCTATAATATGAAGTAGTCCTTCACAATATCTCTCTTCTCCGCGTCGGTACTCTCTCCTTCTCTCTCCACTTGTGTCTGTATTTCACTGATAAGAAAACTGTTCAGTTCTTTGATAATTTGTGTACGATATGTTTGACTTTTGCGGGGAAAGGATGAGAGAGGGAAAACTGGAAGATGATACCCATGTTATCGAAACCGGCGATTAACCACGGTTATTTCGGTTGAAACCACAGTAACACAGCACAAAAACCGACGGTTAATCTCACAATTAACCGAAAAAACGGTCGGTTAACCGTCGGGTTTTCTGCTGTGTTACTGTGGTTTCAACTGAAATAACCGTGGTTAACCGCCGGTTTTCGTCCGGTTTCGACAACATGAGTAGATGACGCTTGTGTGACAAGTGGTGCTCTGACCGAACTCCAGGTGTGCATACCTCATCAATATAATATCTGATTAAATGCACAAGTAAATCCACATTTATTTACTATATCTAACTTCGTAATGTTCAACAATCATATATGACTGATATTGAGGACCTGATCAAAGAAACAATAATTAAATAAAGGAATGCCAAAGCCCTCTAGAAAAGAAAATATTAATGATTGAATGTGACAATTAGATGTCAAATCTCTATCTATTGAGTTCAATGATGCAGCTGAAAGAAAATGTCCTATACAATTTTTAACCAATAATACTCGTAAATATTATATACCTGGATATACTACTGTTGCATCTTGGAAGGATCTGAGTCTCAGGGATATCCTAAGCTAAAAATTTTTGACGAAAACTTTTTATTCCAGAAACATCTGTTAGATATGTCAGTCGATACTGGTTTTTGCTTACATCACAAGCTGATGTTTCGTTTAATCAAAAGCACACGAAAAATAATTAAATTTATAAAATACATATAAAAAAAACACTACATCCTAACAAGAATTTCTTGTAAATCAAAAATATACTTCCTCGAACTTTTTATCAGAGATAACCAATACTAGAAAATGTGAGCGGCGAGATCCAGCGTTAAAAAGGCCATGATTTTATGAGCCCAAAGAGTCGTGAAAACCGCCTTTAAACCTTGCTCACTTTTGATCATACTTAGAATTTTGAACAGATATAAAAGATAATATTCTATAGGACTTGAAATATTGATTCTAACGCACTATTTTTGATCGACTTTTACTTGATCAACTAAAGAAAGATACTTTTTAAATTTTCGTTTGTGTGGAAAACTCTGTTTCCCATTTTCAATTCTCCTTTCGCTCTGCTAAGTTGATAGTTGGTAACATTGTCAAACTGAGCTTCTGGTAAATATCTCGACTTTTCGACTCGATTTTTTATGAAAAGGATCGATCGATACTTGGAAGGCTTTCGATACAAGTCGAATATATCGTAATCAATGCGTCAAGAGTACAAAAGCAGTTTGTTTTTCATACAAGATGAATTAATTAGTAATATTTAATATTTTTGTGTTGGTTTTCAAAAACATGTGATTACATTGTAAATAATAATTGATGGCTAACGAGACCCTATGTAACTCAAGAGATACGAAGCTTTAGGCGTTTCTATTTTAGCTTTTTAGATATGAGTGACTCTATGACAACAATTATTCCTGCCTCTACTCATGTAGGCAAGCCTGGTGCCTTGAATTTCTCCAATAAATATGTCAAACTAAATGTTGGCAATTTTTTATATTTAACAAGTTTTGATACTTTAACAAAACAAGACAACATGTTCAGAGCTATGTTTAGTGGTCGTAATGAAGTTGTACAAGATGGTGAAGGTAAAAATAATTTTATAATGTATTAATCCTTTACCCCCAGATGTCCACAGGCGTGGACATTAGTGAAATATCGGAGAATCGCTATAACAACATGCCGATGCATCGCATCAAAAAACGAATTTTTTTCTAGAGTAAGTTGATATCTAAGTTAATCATTGCTAATAAGAACATTTTTTTCCCTTTGAGTATAAACAGAGTTATAGCAGTTTCAAGTTCGTTTTGTAAGATCAGCTGCTGAAGGTAAAAGGTTTAGTTGTCCACATTAATTTTGATGGTATTTAGGATGGGTGTTGATTGACAGAGATGGTAAACATTTTGGTCTATTATTGAATTTCCTCCGTGATGGAACGATCATATTACCAGAATGCCCACAAACATTAAATGAATTAATGAATGAAGCAAAATTTTATTGTATGCAACAGTTACAAGATTTAATTGAACAACAAATGCAAAATTGTTGTAAAAAATCTGCTGATACAGATGCAATAAACGCTTGTTGTAAAGTAATTATGTTGACATCAGCAAAAGAATTACCAAATTTGATTAATACAATTCGAAAACCGATTGTCAAATTAATGGTTAATAGGCACAATAACAAATATTCATACACAAGGTATTTAATTTAATTCTTTATTTTCGACCATAATTGAAAAGCTGTTAGGAAAGTAGATACAAGCTGGAAATTAGCTTTACATGAGATACTGTTCACCACTTAAAAGAAAAAGAAGTAGAGAAAGAGGCTGAAATATGCACATAATTGAGATAAAACAAAAAATTTATAAAAGAAAAAAGTAAACAAATAAATAGCAACTAATAGAAGGGGATATATTCTTTGAGCAACTTTTTGTACAAGTTCTTGTTCTCTGTGCATGCTAGAAGAGGAGGAAGAGCATTCCAGTCACTGACTGTGACGGAGCCAAAAGATGCTGAGGCTGTTTTTGTCTGGTAATTTTTCACTGCAATTCTATTCTCGTGTCCAAGACGCTGAGAATGTATAGAAATTATGGGTTCGATGAGATTGAGAGAGAAAAAAATACTATTTTTGTGAAATATTTTATAACAATAGGCGAGTCTAAAATATTTTTGTCTCGAAGAGGTGACAGTAATATTATACTGTTGGAGGAGAAGCGTAGAATCACTGGTGTAATTCTCAGAAATAATCTTTTCTGCGTGGTATATCTTCTTTTATTTTTCTGTCTTCCAGTACATCAGATGAGATGTTAATGAAAAACATTGAATTATTTGATAAATTAAGTATACGTTTACACAATAGAATAATATTTGTCAAAGATGTGACCGGAAGTGAGGAAATATGTTGTTGGAGTTTTTATGGTAATGGACAAAAAGTGGCAGAAGTTTGTTGTACATCAATTGTTTATGCAACAGAACGAAAACAAAATAAAGTATGCTTATTTCTATTCGCTGGTAGTTTTCTCATAAGAATATAAGAGGATCAAGTGATCTACAAACGAATTAGACGTAATAAATCGAAAACAAGAAGAACTTGATGTGCACTTATTATGTGAGTAGGTTAGTTCCTTTACATTTTAGGTCGAGTTTTTTGAAGCCAGAATTTATGAAGAAACGCTAAATATATTATTATATGAAAATCGGAATATATCAGAGGATCAAATACGAGCAACATCTCCACGACATACTACAGCTCCTTCGACAGAGGATGATTTAGATGATAATCGATTAAGAAAACGATGAAACAGTGAAGAAATATTTCAATTTAGTAGCAGTTTTGATATGTAAAATTGTATAGGCTAGATATTGAAACACATTGTGTTATATTTCGCTTTCGTTTGAACTGACAGATTCTTTCGAAACTTTCAATTTTATCATGTAAAAGTGTTAATGAAACATGAGTATCTCTAATAATAGATTGAATCGTGATTAAAAACATATATAAAACATTAAGAAACGACTTGAATTGAGAACGTTGTGCAATGAAAGTTGAAAAAAGTAAAAGGATCTATTCGTATATTTTGTTTTTCCATTTTCTATGACTAAAACATTAGAATTTCACCAACAATAACATTTGATGTGTTCTAGATACTGACATTCTCAGATAATAGAAAAAATAATTATTTTTTATCCGTTTTCTGAAGAATGCCCCAAATTAGTAGATTTCTAAAAAGTTGTATTCGGTTACTTAACACTGCCACGATGTTTCGAACATCAAACTCCATATTTTTTGAAAGTTTATTGACTAAGCTTTTAAGACTTTCTCAAAATTCTAGCTAATTTTTACAAACTATAAATTAGCATAATCTGACGCATTGTTAATGAAAAGAAAAATGTGTATCAATCTCATAACGATCTGCTGAAGATTTCTGATGATAAAACTAAAGTTTTATATAAGAACCAATCAGTTCGAATGAAAACAGTACAATGTACTTCAATGTCCAATATATAAAACTCATGTATTAAAGTTTTTAAGTGTTATCTTTTCGTAACTATTAGTATTCTTTTGTCTTTTTTTTGCAATTCTTATTGTAATTTGTCTATATTTATCTCAATTACGAATGAAAATCAAATGAATATCCTTTAATATTAGAGTCATCTCACAGTAGGCAATTTTTGTTTGTGATATGGACCTGACATTTTCTTCTCATTAATCGCGCGTTTACGGGTGATATAGTTTCGTCCGCTTTTGTGTGCTTTATTTTTTCAACTAGAACAGTATTATAAACTTTTATTTTATGATCAAAATATATAGAATTTAATTCTATGAAAAAAACTATGTATTTGATTTTTGAATAAAATTCAGATTCTCGACGAATCTTGAGAATCCAAACAATTTTGGCTAGGTATGTGGACATTGGATTTTAAAGCGCTGGAAAGATCTCTCAGATATGTTTTTGTAGGTTTTCGAGTGTGCTCTTTCTAATGAAGTCAATTACAAAGGTCAAAATTCATGTTTTAAGGGTTTCCAGAGATCCGGTCTATAGAAAACCTTTGCAAAATCAGTTTAGAATTTTTTTAAATAAGTTCATTGAATCATCCGTACTCGGAAACCTATAAAACAATTATTTCTAGGCCTCCAGACCTCTTTTCTAACGATATAAAAACCATCAGCCTCTAGTACTACGGTGCTGCCTCAAATTTAGCCTTCCACGAAAACTTACAATTTTTTCCAAAAAAATTGCTGTGAATTATATATCATTCGATGCAGTTTTTCACGGTGATTCCGAATATGCCCTTGTTTTCGAGCTAGAGTGCTTTAGAAGTGAAAAGAATGAGAAAATCTGTTAAAAAATTAGGGTTTTTGAAAAACGCATAACTTTACATAAAAGTATTTACGCATGTTTACGCATATCTACGTATGTGTGTTGTGTATAGATGCACATTTCGTGAAAGTTCCACTGAAGACGGAGCTTGAAAAAAAATGGAAACGTTACTCTATTGGACACATGTTTTGAGAAAACATCCGACTGAAGGGAAAACCTTTTTTCTACCACAGAAATGAGTTGAACTGAAAATTTTTTTTATGAATCGATAGCCCAAACATTCAACTTTCAGAATATATGCATTTCAATTTTTAACTCTATCGTCCTTCTGACACGAAAAAGCGATGTTCTCAAAAATAGCAGAAAAATAAGCGAAAACTGAAACTTACCTATCTCGGCACTTAAAGTATTTGGATCAAAATTGTTTTGTCATTAAATTTGCCATTGACTAGCCTATATAAGACACTATTTGAACCTTGAAAAATCTCGCTTTCGTTTTTTCCCTAATTTCCATGTGATTCCCAAAATTGCGCTATTCAAATTTTCTACAACATTAACTAGTGTTGTTCATTATTTAAAAGTTATGATATATGGAAGTTATATTTGCAGTGACTGGAGTATATTTTGAGTACAAAAAAGTTTATTGAAAATACAGCTTAAAGAGTATCAAGGATGACAGAGTTTGGGATCAGCATTTTTGTGAAATACATCTTAAATTTTTTTGTTGCTATCTGTCATGGATATTTTGTAACAAGAAAAACTATATGATTTGATAGGGCTTAAGAAGCTGATTCTAACTGACTAATAAACATTGGATTTTGCTTTTGTTAAGAAGTAAAAGACATTTTTTACTTTAAGCTATTTTCACCACAATACGGTTCCTCAAAGGATCATGATAACGAAAGATCCTGTTCTGAAAATTTATATAATGAGAATTTATCTTTGCTAAAGTTCGTTCAAGGCATGACTATACAAAAATTCTGATACGCGCTGAAAAAATGATTCTAAGTATTAAGTCATCGAAAAAAAATCGAATTCTAAGTTTTCAAGGCCTAAATATTACGATAAATAATGTGCACTACGTGTGATATATTCGATTTGTCTGTGTTTTTTTGTATATGAGTATTGTATCTTTTTTAATGTTATTAATAAACTTGTTTAGAAAAAAATTACTTTAAGTATATTAGATTCGTTGACTGTCTATCTCATCAATGTCGATTACACATACAAATGCTAACACGATAAAGAATGGTGAACGTTCCTAATATTATAACAACACAAATATATCGTTAATTTCAGATCATTCATTAGTATCAGTACAGAATCCACTTCAATCACCAAAAAGTTTTAGTGCAGAAGGTCACAGGTAAAGTAGAACCATTCTATTGTAAGCACCTTTGCGACGTTTTCAAAGTGGTAACAATACGAAGGTTGTTAATTTTTTTCCCATTATTTTAATATTTGGCAACTAAGTTAAAAGTGTTCTGAACCAATATCGATTGTCTTTAAAAGAGATATACTAATCGAAGTACTCTTAATCATCAATATTGAGAACAACAAACAAGGTTATCTCGTAGAACGAGTAATCTATTGAAATCGACTTAAAAAAACGAGCTCTATTTTTACACTCTAAACAATAAATAGATCAACAAAAAGAGACCATTCGAAACAACAACAACAACAATTCACTATTTAGCATCTGCGCTATTCATCTTTCTTTGTTTTTTTTCTTGTCTCCTTTTTAGGTGGTTTACTGCTGCCACTTTTACTACTATATTCTTTATCTCTTGTTGTTGTTACCAAGTCTGGTTTTTGCCACTGAACTGGATGATTTCGATACATTGGCCATGGTGGTAATGTTAACTAAATGGAAGTAAAACCCACAAGATTATTATGATTCACGTCGCCAGTATATAGAACATACCAATGCGGATACTGCAAGACCTGTTAGAACAATATAAATTGTAATCGAATACTGTTGAAGTATATAACCAGATATAAAACCAACAATCTGAATATGAGAAACAATGTTAATTTTATGAGAAGAATGTTTAAATAACAAGCAAGAATTAAATCAACGATAACACAGGGACTAAAACTTTTACTTAACCTCCGTTCTTTTTTTTTGATAGTTATATTTTTCGGCAAATAGTTGATCAGAGCTTCCTGTGACCGAGTATATTCTCCTTCATTCTTCGTCATTTGATAGGGTTCACAAATAGATTTCAGCTAAATTTCGTACTCCAAAGAATTCGTTTTCTAACTTTTTTGATACCATTTCCCTTATAATTCTCATAGTTCAGCTAAATGTAACACATAAAATGAAACATACACCGAAAGCAACAATTATGACTTGAAATAAACGTTCAGCCATTTTTTGACCAATAAAATCCTAGAAAAAATGTCAAAAATCACACTATTTGAGATTTTCATATATTAATCTTTACGTACCATGTGAGTTTCGAACGGCCATTCGATATCGAACATTTTTTCAGAAATTAAATAAGATAATAGAAAAAGACTAATGATAATTCAAATATAACTATGACGAACAAACACCACAACCTTATAACACAAGAAAGGCTAACGGTTCATGGACTTGCATGACTAGGCCGCTGAAGAACCAATAAAGGAATTATCCTACGCGCTCTTTGTTTATAT